TAATTCTCTCACTAACTGCCTCCCATTCAGATCCTGAATCTTGCCATACCTTTGTGACAATAGGATCAAGACAGATAGCCACTCCATGTGCTCTTCTCGTTTTATTATCACTTGATGCACCAGAATATATCATTGTATAATCATTTACAAATTTCACCCCGGAGTCACACATACATGTTTCACTTAGTGCAGCTACTTGTATTCGATATTGTTTCAGTTGCTTGATGATTAATTCTTTCTTTGATTGTTTCAGATATGATCGAACATTCCATCCACCGAAATATACGTGTTTTTGTGCGTTCGCACACTTCGTTTGTTTCTTTTCATTAGTACAATTTGTTTAATGTCCAGCTGGCAGGTTGCTAGCCTAAAAGTCAGACTGTTGGCTACCGGCAGCCCAGGGTCGCCTCCCACCACTGTAAACAGCAGCAGGACCATGTAGAAGTTTGAACTCCCCCCCCCCGCCGGGCAGGCGGTAATGTAAAATAAAGATTGCGACATATACTATCTTACTTCACAACAAATATTTAACAAAAAACAATTAAATAATATTCTTTAAATACTGAGAAAGTCTATATCTTAAATACCATACGCTTAAATCATTCCTTTCCTAATATTATTAAATTGACGATCCAGACTGATTTACTTTGTTTAGATATTACTTTTTAACGCTCGTCGATACGAACAATGTGTAAAGAAATAATAAAATCATTCTTATATAAAGACAAAATTTATAAAATTATTTTCCTGCAGTTTTGTTTCAATTACGTATTCTATCTATACTTTTGACTTGCAAATAATTTGCTATATATACACTTATCTCTTGTTTTTTCAATCAAAATTGATTATTCTAAATCAACAAAAGTGTTACATATCCTGCAATTTGGAGAAGTGCTCACATCTCTGCCGGGAGATGCTGCATTTTCAGCGGGAGATGCAGTACCCAATGTGAGATATGCACATCTCTCAATGAGATGATACATCTCCAACAGCAAACCACCGCATCTCCCGAGTGTGGGTGCCGCGTCCCCCGCGGAAGATGCCGCATCTTCTGTGGGAGAAGTGAGCATTTCTCCAAAATCTCGGATATGTGACACCACACATGAGTTAAACATTCATGGTTATATCCAAAAAGTATATACCATGACATCGTCGTAGCAAAACTATTGAATAGTTAATATCAATAAAGTTAAACGAGAGATCCTGCCCTCGAACAGAACTCTCTTTAACAGAGGACAACTAATTTTCATATCTTTTAGTGAATTCAAAATTCATGCTGCATCTCAAAGCAAATTTTCAAATTTCTTTTTTAAGATAGAATATCAATGAAAGTTGCATTCAAGCTTCTCTCGATCTAAAAATAGTTAGCCCATCGGCGAAATAATTACTGCTGTTTCAAGTACAATTGCATCGACATCCACAACATTAAATATGCCCAATCAAAATATCAACAACTGATATTTCAATGCATCATGATAATAAATTTCTACTTAATAAACAAGCGATATACCATATGATGGGGAATTTGATTTTATGGCAAAATCAAATTCTTAAAGACAATATCTATTTGTGACAAAATAGACATACCAATATAAGCGGTACAACGATGCAGAATGCATACAGAAGCATGTATCAATCAAAAACTCTTCGGCTCATGTAACTCATCTTTTATTTCTGCATCGCGGCGTGGGGGCGCTACGTGCTCCCCGAAGAGCCGCAACCTACGTTCGTCTCTGTGTACACGGTTTCGTCTGTCCGCAGTTTGCGCTCAACGTAAACTGAACATCTCTAAAACTCTACATTGCTATACCGCTATAGCACTATAGTGGTATAACTATATATTGCGTTGAATATTTCACTGTTTCTGATTGGTTGGTTTCGAAATTTGCCGCAAATTCAAATTTCCCATCAATTCATACAGAAACGAACGTAGGTCACGGCTCTTCGGAAGCGCGTAGCGCCCTCACCCCGCAGCACAGAAATAAAAGGTGAGTTACGTGGGTCGAAGAGGTTTTGACTGATAAATGCTGTTGTATGCATTCTGCATCGCTTATACCACTATAAGGACATTTTGTCACAAATAGATATTGTTTTAGAGAATTTGATTTTGTATAAAATCAATTTCTCCGTCATATGCCATAAACAGCTGCTAATTTCATCGATATCAATTTGAGAGTGTTTATTTTCAACAAGTGAGATATTAATGGTATATCTGAAGGAACTTGTTGAGACAGAAAGAGAAGAACAAAGATGATAAAGGTATGTTTTATAACGCAAAACATGCCAAATTTGTCTGAAATATTAAAAATGACAAGAAAACTTCATCTCTTTTCTGTTATTTAATAGCCTCAGTTACAAACTCTCATCTTCCATTTCAAATAGCAATAAACTGACATTTATTTGAATTCGAAAGTGATTGAACAGAAGTCTGTCAAAGATTACTTTAAAAATTGACAATTTTTAAGGACAGAAATATATGGAAAGACAAGTAACAATTTTTTTAAACAGCTATTTTATTCGATAATGCTTTCAAGGTGTCGGAAAAATGCGTCTGTTTCGTTGAAAAACTTTGCTGTTGGAAAATACCTAATCTCTTTATATTAAAGGCATTCGAAGAATATCCATTATAGGAATATTTAATTACAAGTAACGCTCGTCTGCGTGACTCGCTTTACCCTCGACTGAGTATTTGACTGCTTCGAAATTTTTACTGTCACACATTCCATTCATAAGCTAGCAACTGATGTATGTATCTAGTTGTGTGTGAGAGCGAATATTAATATAAAAATCTGTGTCGGCGTGAGAAACGTCATGCGTATCCTTAGATACTGGTTGCCGTATCGCTCATTCAACTAAACTGATACTCTACCAGTAATACCCGAAGTAAATCTGTATGACGCACAATAGCATAGCAATATCCACAGGGTTCGAAAAAGACACTATATTCGATTGGCAGAAAGAATCAAGAAACAAAACATATACGAGGCAATAGAGTGAAAATGCACTACAATTCGCGAAAACTATCATAAACCTGCTTTGGCAGCAGTTAGTCGTTCGTTGGCGCTCCTTTGAGGGGCCACTCACGGCTAGCTGCTGCTCTTTTTAACTTCGTACCATTTAAATGACTAATATTTTGCTTGACTTAAGCAAAGTCTGGAATTCAAAGTTTCGACCAAAATATTGAAATTTTATGAGAACAAATCTGGTTGATATTTCAAAATTTTATGCCCTGTGATTATATATCAATTGGAACAGTGCAGTTCACTTTTACTGAATGAATCTTCGGTATTCTCAAGCAACCCACAGTCGAACTTTAACAGAGAAGGCTCATGGATAACAATACCTAGTTTGCCTCTTTCCACCATATCATTGGATCATCAGTGACGACTATCCTCAATTGAAAAACGAGAGTAACAGGGTTCTATTCATACTATCAATAGATAGAATAACTTCTTTCGATCTTTTCGAAATAACGGTGTTAATAGGGACGTATCATGTAAATTTACAAATCAACGAGGTCCTATATAATAAAGTTCACCATAGTCAACTACACTACGATAATCATTCACTGAAACATTGACAACACTAGGATACTACCATTCACTCATATAGTAGACAGAACCGTAACAAAATAAATCGATCCACCAAAGTCATCACTGCTGTGGTATAGAGTGCTATGGTATTTGCAATCTTTAGTGAACCGCTTGTTCGTGACGTAAGTTCTCATTAAACAAAAACTTCACATGTCTGCGTACTATTCCTCTACAAAGCTATTCAGCTTTCCACGTAGCACTCTGTCATCAGCCCAGTGTAAGTCAATATTTTCCATAAAAGTTCTTTTATTGATAAAATCCCCACCGAAATTTAAAATCTACTAACATTAAATCTATATTTAACACGCACGATTACTTTCAATGAAACTTCTGCAAACCCCTCGGTTGCTTGAAGAAAATGTTCAATTACTTATGAAACAATACCGATACTGAACAGAGTCATTCATCTTGGTCAGCATTTATAGCATTCTGATTGTTACAACCCTCATTTTCTTCACACCAGTAATCAAAACTCAAACTTCCCAAAAAAAACGACTACAGATTCGGATTCCCTGATGTCGATTCCCTATCGTCAACCTTCATAGAATGTGGTTCTTTTCTCCAAAAAAGACGTTCCCCTACCTAGATAAGCCATCGCAAAATCCTCTCCGTTGAGAGCCCATACCCAAAAACATCTCATTGACTGAATTTAGCTACCGAGAAATCCTATTAACATTTTTATCTAATCCTTGACCTTTGACCTCCCACAAATACATATACAGACAGGCATACACACTCATTTTCGTGCCTATGGCCCTCCCTTCAGTTGAGGGAGTAGCAAAGTTCTATCAGAACCTTGAAAAGCCTTAAAAAAAGAAAGTTTGTTTCTGATTGGCCGATTACCGACCAATGAAACCTTTCCCAAAGAAATGCGCTTCGGATTCGGATTAAGGGCCCTCGATAACCTACAGCAAAGTTCACTAAAAACACTCAAAAGTCTTAAAATAAGTAAGTTCGTTTCAGATTGGCCGATTCCCGACCAATGAAACCTCGGTCAAAGAAATGGGCTTCGGATTCGGACTCACGGTCCTCGATAACCTATAGCAAAGTTCGATCAAAATGGCCACAACTCTTAAAATAAGTTAACCTCGCATATATGTTTTTTTGACCCCAATCAAGCAAACAAACAAACAAACAAACAATCGCATTTTATTTCGTATGACCCTTCCTTCAGTCGAGGGAATATATTTGAAATTAAATTTCGATCTCATATTCAGTTTATTTTTGTTTGTTTTTATAAAGACGGACGAACAGATAGTCAATATAGATAAAGAAAAAATACCAGAAAAGATAAATATGTTTTTCGATGTTATTTTAAATAAAGAAAAAATATTGATTAAAAATAAATTCATTTTTTTTTTGAATAAAAAACAAAAATTTGATAATATTTTATATTGAAATTATTTCTTATATATAATTTAACAAAAGAAAAAAAGAAATCTTACCAGTATGTTTTAATGAAGGTGTAATTTCATCATTAAAATATTTTCCATAGATCGATGCACCTCCACGTCCTGTTCCAGTTGGATCTCCACCTTGTACAATAAAATCTTTAACAACTCGATGAAATTTAGTTGAATTATAATATCCACGTCGAGCTAATTCAGCAAAATTTCTACATGTATTTGGTGCATGATCCCAATATAGTTCAACAACCATTTTACCCATACTATTTATTAAAAATAAAATATTTTAATTATTTATAAAAAAAAAAAAAAAGTAAAAATAAAACGTACGATGTTTCTAATGTAACCAATGGTGGTCTCCAATTATCCGGTGGAATTGATGAAACTGATCGATCATTATTATTGACTAGATGCATTTCTTTATTTTGTTCGTTTTTATTTTTCAATCTAGAAAATATTTAATTTATTTCGTATTTGAATAGTGTTTTATATGTTTTTCTTAAATATTTATTGTTAATAGAGAAATAAACTGTTCAAATAAAACAAAACTAATCTGACAAAAGACTAGATTAATGTAAATTGTTGTTGGGTATATTGTGGTTGTTGTTGTTGTTTTTGTTGATAAAGAGCTGAAGCTCGTTTTCGTTTTGCTTTACTTGATGCTGATGGTTTTATTCCTTGTGCTGATGCTGTTGAAGAATTCGATCGATGACATTTAGGACAAAACCATGGAATTGATTCAGGAGGTTCTTCAACAATTCCAACACATTCCCTATAATTATTTAAATTTCGTTTTATTAAAAATAAAAATAAAAAAGATGAAAATATTCTAACCAATGATACCAATCATCACATAAATCACATGCTATCATTGCTTCTTGTCCATTATCTGGTCTATTACAAGATGGACATATCCAAATTTTTTCTTGAGAATCATGATCAATCTAAATTTATATTTATATTAAGTAGACTTTTTTTTCTTTCTAAATTTATATTATTTTAATATAAAATCAATTTATTCTACTTTTCTATATCATTTAATTATTCATTATTTAATCAATAACTATCTCTAAACTTAGATTTTTTTACGAAAATTTAAATTTTTATTTAAACAAAAGAGTCTATTACAAAAACTAATTGTTACATTAGAAATGATAATAATAAATTTATTTTATCAATAAATAATTAAAAACAATGAAAAATTTTATGTTAAAAATGAAACATTATTATGATTCGAAATTCAAATTAAAACAATTTTCTTTTTCATCTAATGAATTAACATATTTAACTATCGGATTTCATTTTCCTTCATTTAAGATAAAGAATTTCAAGTAGAAAATTTCGTCAATAAATATTTTTAATAATTATTAGAGATTAGAGTCCTATGTTAGATTTCGACTCGAAATCTAATTAATGAAACTAAAATTCTTTTTAGTAAAAATAATATAAAATAACTTTGTCTAGAGTAAATATTTTATTTTCATATTAACAATTTTATTCTTTATAATAATGTTAAAATTCTCTGCTCTCAAGAATTCTTATTGGCTTAGGTAAATTTCAATAAGACGAAATTTTCAAGATATATTAGAACTGTGACAGAAAAACTATGCTCAAATTTTAATTAATCTATCATTACATTGAAGGAAAGTATTTAACAAAAAACTCTTTAAAATAGTTAATTTAACAAGGAAAAATTCTCTGTTAATTGTCAATCTATATTGTTATTGTCTAAAAATTCATTTATTTATGAAAATTTCAACATATCGATAAATGCTCATCTATTTGTGTATGTTAGTTTTTCTATAAAATAATTTTAAAAAAAATTAATTACTCATATTTGACATATTCTTCGAAAGAAAAAAAACAATCCAACTGAATAGATTTCTTAAATAAAGAATTTATTTAAAGAAAAAAGTGACGAAAATTATTAATAATCTTGTCAAAAAACGAATTATCAAATAGAAAACAAAAAATTCATGTTGTTAATTGATAGAGAGATATTCTTCCTAAAAAAGTAAGAAAAAAATAAAATATTTTTTTTAGACAAAGAAACAAACATTTTCTAAGTATCTCTTAGTAATATGTTCGAGTGAAAAAGTGAAATCTATTTAAATAATGGAATATGTTAGGTTTAGTTGAAAGTTGAAAATATTATCTAATCAATATTATATTAGAGGATTTTATATAAATTCCGATAAAAATAAATTGTTTTATCTTACATCGAATATTAACATAGTCAATAGGAAAATATATTAAAAATAGTCTTTTATCTTAATGAGTAAATTCTTAAATAAAATTTATTTAAGTTTGTTTTTAATCTTTAAAATATCTATTAATTAATATTGATTATATTTATTAAAACAATGTTTAACAAATATTTATCTTA